TCTGTACCACAAGCAGGAGGCTCCTGGAAGGAAGAGGGGGCAGCTTCAAGGCAAAAGGCAGGAGATGCACAGCCGTGCAGGGAGGGGCAGCTGAAGTGCTGGCACTTGATAGCCTCTTGGCCAACTTGTCAAGATCACCTGTCAGAGGCTCCAAGATCTACCAGTCGATCCCGATCAGTGATCTAGGGGGTGGGCTGAGCAGTCTTGAGAGGAGACCCAGGAGCTGCCGAGACTGGAGATAAGGTTTGAGCTGAATGTTGGTATCACTACAGTTAACTTACTTGCCGAATGCCAGGGAAGGAGAGGAGTTTTCACTCTGCATAGTGTGCCAATGAAAAGAGGTGTCCTGGGCTTTGATTGGGCCAGGATTACTGAAAATTGGAATGTGATGGGGTGCAGTTACAGAAGGCCCCGTGGGGGTACTTCCTGGGGTTCTGACAAGACCACTTCCCCTCACCTTCCTGCTCTCTGGGGCTCCTTGCTACCCTGTCCTGATGGGCCAGCTCCCTGGTCTCCCCCAGCCCAGGCACAGAGCCAGGGGCGGATGAGAGTGCTGCGGGGCCCAGGGCAGCAAAATTTCGCAGGGCCCCCCCCTTTGACACAGCGCATGCGCCGTGGTGCCAAGGTGCATGTGCGGGGCCTTGGGAAGCGCGGGGCCCGGGGCAGCCGCCCCGTTCGCCCTGCCCTAAATCCGCCGCTGCGCAGAGCTGAGATTACCGCCCTCTACCCCGAGGAGCAGTACAGACACCGAAACTCTTTGGCTACGTCTAGACTGGCCCCTTCTCCGGAAGAGGCATGCAAAGCAGGCAAGTCAGAATAGGGAAATCTGCGGGGGATTTAAATATCCCCCGCGGGATTTAAATAAACATGGCCGCCGCTTTTTTTCCGGCTTGGGAAAAAGCCAGAAAAGAGCATCTAGACTGGTGCGATCCTCCGGAATAAAGCCCTTTTCCGGAGGATCTCTTATTCTGAGGAGCCAGCTCAGGAGAGCCCCAAGAATTTCAGAGGGAGCAGTTTGGGGCGGCATTAAACCAATGTAGGCGCTGTAGAACAGGCACATGCTTTCCCTCGTTTTCTGGGTTCATTTGGCAAGCACAACTGCTCTCTAATTGACTGTCTGCCTTAACGTCCCTTTCAGCTCTTTAAGCCACGTGAATCATTTAAAAGGGGCTGTGAGGGAGCGAGGCGCACGAGCCCTGCATGTTTCCAGAAGAGGATTTGTCGAGGTAAGCTGTGAATATTCTCTTGGCAGCTCACGGGGTTGTTCAGTTTAAACTTTCCTGGGCTTTGACGTATTCAGTTAGGAGAAGACTACTGAATAACTGGCTTGTTTGTGAATCGGTGCATCATTTAAAGCAGGGCTGGGGAACTTCAGTCCTGGGAGCTGAACGTGGCCCCCTGCTTGTCTGGATGTGCCCTTCCCCCAGCATTGGGAAGCCTGCACTGGTGATCCAGCCCCCCTGCTGCCTCACTGTGGGGCTGGAAGCATAAAATCTACTAAGCCCCCCTCTCCCATGCTCTGGAGTTCAAGGGGATTGTGGGGAGTGTCTTTCTCCTCAATTGGGGGCTACATCAGTGAGGGTTTTTTTGGTTGGTTTGTTTTTTTCTTCTCGCTTGTGTGAGACTGATTTTTCTGTGGGTCAGCGGCCCCTGACCCAAAAAAGGTTCCCTCCCCCTGATTTAAGGTAACAGGAAACCATGCGAGGGCCCAGAATATAGAGCACAACGGACTCTCACTTTCTTTCAGACTCTTTTTTCCCAAAGCGGTGAGCATTTTGTAAATATCCTGCGCTCGTGCTTTTGCACTGTCGCTGGCAAAGCGTGCAGGCGAGGAGAAGTCAGAAAAGCAACACATTGGTATTTTAAAAAAATTACAAAAAATGGGATTGGGGAAGGGAATCAAATTTTCTAGTCTGATCCTTGTGAAACAGAAACCACTTCAATATTTGAAACGTGGGTGTGAAGTCATTTTTCTGTGGGTTGTTTCCCTACGGGTCAGTCTCATGGGCCACGTGCCCACCTCTGGCAGTCCAGTGACAGATACCTCTGTTCTGTGCATCATCCTTTCTTTCAGCACTCTCAACATGTGAGCACCTCCAGTCACATGCCTGATCTCTAGGATGGGGTATTTGTTCTCCCTCCTCCCAGGGGAGAATTGTGCGTGCAGCGCGGTGGTTGGTTTGAGCTGGATTTTCTTTTACATGTCCAGGCTCTTGTGTGTTTGTTAGAGAAAGCAGGTTGGAGAAATGTGTGCGGCACTTGGAAGGGAAGTTCCTGCGGGAGTTTTCCCACCATCTGGGACCAGCCCCCTGGAATGCTCCATCTCCTGCACAGACACAGAGCAGTAGAAACAAAAAACAGGACTACGTAGCACTTTAAAGACTAACAAGATGGTTTATTCTATTATACATAATATATTATATATATCATGTTTATTATACAGACACAGAGCAGTAGAAGAGATGGTAGAACGTTGCAGTGTATTTGAGGAGTAGAGGTTCCAGCCATGCTTCTGTCCTGGAACTTCAAGGTCTTTTCTCTGTGCTGGGACCTGACCCTTCCTGCCGTGGACCTCAGGACCAAGATCTTGGACTTGACACTTTAGTCTATGGGCAGCCAGGGCAGAGAATGGAAGACATGTGGGATGGGTTTGGGGAGCCAGGCCATGCTGCTTAGACTACAGCAGGAGGTTGATTTGAGGAGGGGGCAGTGGATCATAGGCCAACAAAGAGAAATATGAACATCAAGCATTCAGCTGTGGTTCCACATGAGCATCCAGCCGCCCTGGCCCCCAGTGCTGAGCAAGGCTGGACTGGTTCCTTCGCTTTGTTAATGCATTTTGGAAAAAAGTTCAGCCTGCAACTTTCCACCCACCCCCGCTCCGTACCTAAGAGGCTTAGAATGCAAGGCCTCTGGCTAACCTAAATACCAGAGCCGCCTGGGAGAGGAGGTATGGCTTTGGGCATGTCCTTTGGTCTCACTACTCCATGTTTACTCTGGGGCACAAAAAACCCAGAGAGTGTTGCCCTCATTATTTGTGTCCCACTGTGCTAGGTGTTAAGCAGCTGCACGGGAGACAGCCTCTGCCCCTGAAACTATTCCTGGCTCAACAGAGCAGCCAGCCGACGGCTTGGGCCAACAGAAGTAGCATTATAATTTCACAGACTGGGCACTGAGGCATACGGAGAGTAAGGGTGAGATTTGACAAGCTGCCTGAGGGATTTAGACAACAGAGTTCCATTAAACTGAACAAAATGAGTTGAACTGAGTGGGAATGGGTGTCCAGATCCCTTAGGTGGCCTTGAGAAACTCAGCATAAAGAAACATGTCTGAATTGGGAGCCTTTGATTCCAGTCCCAGACTGACTGTGTGCCCTTGGGAGCATCATGGTCGCTCCGTGCCTCAGTTTCCCCATCTGTATAGTGAGGCTAATAGCATTGCCCTACCCAAGAGGGATGTGATGAGGATAAACAGATTAAAGACTGTGAGGCACTCAGACACTGGGGTCATGGGAGCTAGATATAAATAGTCCCAAGCCAGCACCTTTACAATAAAACCATTCTTTTGCCCCTAAATTCTCTCCTGAGCCTCAAGCAAATCAAGGCAAAGCAGCTTGTACGTTAGCAGCTTGCCTCTGTCTCTCTCCCCACTTTCTGTTCGAATTGCTTTCATTGTTCCAGTGCCAGCTATCGCCTTGCAAAAGCCTTCACTGGACTTTTAAGTAAATAAACTCATTAACAGCAACACACCAACAAAACCATAGTTTTATTTAAAGGCAGCACAATTGCAGACATGAGACCGAGAGCAAAAATAGCACAAGGCCACTATGAGGCAAGAAAGAAGGTGCAGGAATCAAAAGTAAGGATACAAAAGATGAAATATACAAATATCTGATAAAGAGCGATGATAAGAGTGAAGGTAACTGACTCTATTAGCTACAGGAAAGGCAAGGGTGAGGGGGTGACAAGGAAGAGGCCACAAATGAGGAAATTTTTCAAGTACAGAAACAGGAGCACTGGGTCTCCAGGAGATAACAGAGGATATTATTGGTAGGGGCAGCAATCCACAAACAAACAGGAATCAATTATGGTCACATAACACGCATTACCCCAAATGCTTTATCTGATGTGCTACAGAGATTATTCGCCCTCTGCTGAAATGCAGGCAGCTCTGGGGTGGAGCACAGCCAACTCTCTCCACTGGTGGCGTGGGAGTGAGAAATCCCTTTCTAAAACTGGGAACTGCAGAGGGGATTTTTTTTATTTGGTAGAATTCCAGCCTGAGTCGAAATGTAGCCAGGATATTTGGGATTAAAAACACCCGGAGGGAAAGTCCCTTGTGATCTAGAGTGACTGTATTTAGGACCCGGGCTTTGTGCCTTGTTGGAACGACATCTCTGCATGTTTAGCTCTGATTTGACTACTACACACATCACTGCTTGTTTGTCTGATCCATGTTTTATGAACTGCCAGGGTGTCACGTTCTACCCCGAGGCAAACGGTGTGCCCACAGTGGGTATTAAAGCGGTGGATTGACATACCAAACCATGCTGGATTAACTGTGTCCCATCCAGATGTCACAGCAAATATACCTTGGAGGCTGCACATATCCTGGACATGAGATGGGACGTACCCAGGGACAGTGCCACCTCATACACAGATCCTGCCCTGACCCAGCAGAAACGCAGTGATCCTGGTGCTTGGATAGGTGGGATTCCAGGCTCCTGTATGGGAAAGCTGCACCAGAACTGGTTGAAAGTTGGAACTGTCCATGAAATGGAAATCCCCCCTCCCCTCCCCTCCCCTGACCAGAAAATTGTTTTGAAGATTTCATTTGGGGGGGGCAGAGGGGGAATGAAAATTCATTTTGAAACCCCTTCACGTTGAATGATGTTTGCTTCTGGGGCCGTGTCTTTCATCTTGACGTCGTGTCATGACATCATGGTAACAGCAGGGTGCAATAGGCGGTGACACACTGTGACATCATTTCCTCTCACGGAGCCGGAACGCAGGGCAGCTGCCAGTGCAGGGAGGTTTGACCGCTGCACAAACCTCCAGTCTTTGTTCTCATACATAGGGTGGCCTAAAGGCATGGACGCCACAGGTAACCTTGGACCTCAGCCCGGCTATTCAGGCAGTCACTAGGATTTGAACAGGGTTTGAACAGGGGACTTGCATTTCCAAACTAGAGGCTCCCACCTCCGGGGTTATTAACTCCATTAGCTGCTAGCAGTAGTAGGTTTTTAATCCTCTGTGGGCTCCAGCCAGCAGAGGCGATGACACACTTTACCAGCAAACCATAGCTCTGGAAAAGCCAGATGACATAGATGTGATCAGGCTGCCCCTACCATGGTACAGCTCACGCCCATCTCTGGGGGGATCTCTGCCTCGCACAACAGACTTCCTCTCCGTGTTCGCTTTGGTAGCACTTGATAAGAGCAATATGGGGGCAGGCATCTGGGAGAGTGACTGGCAGGGTGAGAGTTTGTGGGGTTGAATCTCAGAGCAGGAGTGTATCAGGCAACACTCAGATCACAGCAGAGGCATTTGTAATCATTGTGTTTTACGTCTCTGAGGCTACGTCTAGACTACAGGCTTCTGACAACAAAGAGTGTCTAGACTACATCCAGTTCTGTAAGCCGCTTTGTCGACATAACAGTGTAGACGCAAAAGACAGTGTAGATGCAAGAGCGCCGTCTGACGACAGAACTCTGTCGACAAAAGACGTTATTCCTCGTAGAATGAGGTTTACTGCCGTCAACAAAACTGCTGAGTAGACACAGGTGTAGTTTTGTCGACAAAACCCTGTAGTCTAGACACACCCTGAAGGCCAAACTCAGAGCCCATGTGGTAAGAGGGGGGTAGGAGGGAGGTGACCCTTGCTGCTGCCACGCCAGGCACCCATAATTCCCCTGGGCCACGTTGCTCAGGATATGAGGGCAGAGCAGGGAAGGGGCAAGGCCCGCAGCAAGTGGGGGCTACCCCAAGCCGTGCATCCCCCTCAAGAGAGCCCTGACCAAAACTATTCCCATTTTAGCATCAGTGCGTCTAGCTGTTTACGCGCCAACTGGGGCCGCCCTTTCCCCAACGTCCTTTGGAGCTCTTATCTCGCCACAGGGACATGCTCCTGCTATGCAAACAACCCAACCTGTTTTCCCAAGCGCTCCAGAGGGGAGGCCGAGCGCTCGCTTTCTACATAAACCCTTGAATTTCCCTGTCGTTGCCAAAGTGGTTGTAATAATAATAATTAATCATAAGTAAAGCTCTTGCTTTTGAATTGGATAATATTAATAATACTTGGCAGGTTATATAGTGCTTTACAGACATTAACTAATTAATCCTCACCCCGTTTACTATGGTGATTAGCGCAAGGAAAAACAAACAGTGAATTTTTTCATTCCCTGGTAGGCGTGTCTCAGTGACTAACACCGAGTACCTCTATAAGGAGACCAGTATGTCCTACAGCAGAGGGGGGTTTCTAAAGGTTTGGGACCACTGAGAGTAGCTGATAATAAATAGTAAAGCAGCTCCCTATTGAAATCAGGTGCTAATGTGCCAGGCGCTGTACATTTGTACAGTAAAGAGATACTCCCTCCCCCCAAGAGGTAGAACCTAGACTGATATGCCACCCGTTGCTTTATGCATTAGGCTACACTGCCCCTCTTAGCAGACCAGCACACAGATACTACATAGTCTAGACTGACATTTGCCTTATGCTGAGCTGGATGCTTTGCCCTTCAAGGCACTTGATGGTTTGGGTCATGACTATCTGACGTGTCAGAGAGGTTTCATGGCAACTGGACCCTCCAGAAGTCCTTGGGTGGAGGCTCCAGACATGACACGCTCCCTAGCTGTGTCTAGACTGGCCAGTTTTTCCGGACAATCAGCCACTTTTCCGGAAAAACTTGCCAGCTGTCTACACTGGCCGCTTGAATTTCCACAAAAGCACTGACAATCTCATGTAAGATTGTCAGTGTTCTTGCGGAAATACTATGCTGCTCCCGTTCGGGCAAAAATCCTTTTGCGCAAAAGGGCCAGTGTAGACAGCTCAGATTTTTTTTTTCAGCAAAAAAGCCCCGATCGCGAAAATGGCGATAGGGGCTTTTTTGCAGAAAAGCGCGTCTAGATTGGCACGGACGCTTTTCCGCAAAAGTTCTTTTGTGGAAAAGTGTCCGTGCCAATCTAGACGCTCTGTTCCGAAAATGCTTTTAACGGAAAACTTTTCCGTTAAAATCATTTCCGGAAAATCATGCCAGTCTAGACGTAGCCCATGAATAGTGCTGGATGGGAAATAGATTCCCCACCCTGTGAAAAATGTCAAGGAAGTTTTGCCCACAAAATACCCCTCTCCACCACACTCCATAGTGTGTCTGCATATGATATCAGAGACCAAACTGCCAGTCTCCACTCCGCTGGAAGGAAAGATTCAAACCTGGGTTCCCCATATACCAGCTGAGTCAACCCCGTGACCTCTGGGCTCTGAGCTTTTCAGCTTCCACAAATTCCAAAACTTTCACAGAAAAACATTTTGTAAATAATAATAATAATAATCTCAACAGACTCCATCAACTCCCACCATCTTGCTCCAACCGAGGCTGGTCTTCAGGGTAACTTGTGAGGTATATGTTTTCCCTGCGCTTGCCTGAGAGAGAGATGTCAGCATTACCGGGTAATTCATTATCAACTCTTACAGGGAAGTTATATCTGAGCTGTGCTGCGCTGTGCATTGTAAGATTATTAGTTATGGATTCTGGTATCACCCATTGGTCCCAGTCACATTCAAGGCCCTACCATGCGAGGTGCTGCACAAATACAAATGAAGACACCGATTCTGCCCCCAAAGAGTTTACAGATTTTGGACAATATTTATTTCTTGTCTTTCCATTCACATGTAGCAACCTCAGGCTACCTTGTATTTTTTATAATCAACGAAGAGCTGAAGTAGAGTTCCACCCAAAAAGAGCAGAGTGTGTGGACATCACCGCTACTGGTCTGTCCTGACCACTGGTGACAAAATGGCAGCTGAGGTCTATGCACAGAGGGCAGGAAATACAAAGACTCAGTGAACCAAAACCAAACAGCCTCACACCCAAGCACAGTGCAGCTGGGAATCCTCCTATCTGTATATTAATGGTATTGATCCTTTTTTTGGTTGTTCTTGGTTTCCCCAGTATAAATTTTAAGCTACATAAAGACCCTTGTATGAAACCACCCACTAGCAGAAACCTGATAGAGCTTAGACACATGCACACATCCTACAACAGAGTTAGGAACAGCTGGCAAAAGTCCCTGCTTCACTGCTTTATTTCAGCTGGACTTTCACTGGGGAATTTTCCTGGGTCCAGATGATGTCACTTTGCATTCAGAAGCAACAAATGTTACCCACAAAAGCGTTGATTCACCACAGTACCCAACCTCATGCATTTCAGATTAGACATGCAGCTTGCTGTGGTTAGATGTCAACAGATGTCCAGCTGTGTTTGTGCATTCCATCTGTATGCCGTGCCAGCCCTGTGCAGACAGACAGCACCACAGACCTTGAGCAACCCTGGCCAATGACAACAAGATCTGTTAAGGGATGAAGGCACCCAGCTAGGTTTATTGTTGGCAAAGCACGGTACTGCAGACCATTAATATGAGTATGCCCGTGATAACAGGCTAGCTCTTTGAGCTGCAGGACTGTCTATTCCTCCCTGGACCAGACAAAGTTACACCCCTGAAATTCATCTTTATACCCTGATACAAACAACTAGGCTATGTCTAGACTGCAAGCCTCTTTCGAAAGAGAGCGTCTAGACTGCACGTTGAACTTTCGAAAAAGCGGCTTGCTTTTTCGAAAGAAAGCATCCAGTGAGTCTGGATGCTCTCTTTCGAAGAAGCCCTATTTACATTGAAGAACGCCTTCTTTCGAAAGAGGAACTTTCGAAAGAAGGCGTTCTTCCTCGTGAAATGAGGTTTACCGCCATCGAAAGAAAAGCTGCGTTCTTTCGATTTAATTTCGAAAGAACGCGGCTTGAGTCTGGACGCAGGGGAAGTTTTTTCGGAAAAAGGCTACTTTTCCCGAAAAAAACCCTGAGTCTGGACACAGCCCTAGGTACTTCCATTCTGACATAGCCACTTGACCTGGCTTGTTATTACCCATCACCTCGTATATGTTGGTTTGATTAAAATATCTCTATTACGTACTGTTATTCTGACCATATCTATGAGTGTGCTTCTGTCATTCCTGAGGAAGGAATGGTTTTGTACCTTCTTTAATATCAGGATGTTCTGGTACCACTTAATATCAAAATGTCTGTTGGTGAGTACAGTGTGACCTGCATGTCTTAGGAGTGGGTATTTTTGCAGTTTTAGGCCTGTTCTTGCCAGATTCTGTAAGCTGACCCTGCCTTATAGCAGGGCTCTAATACAAGAGCTTATGCTCAGGCATCCCGGCCTTCGGGCCAGGTGAGCAAAGCGGTTGCCTTGGGGTCCCTGCCGTCTGGGCCCCGCGCTGCAGTTGACAGCTGTTTAGTGCTCAGTGAGGCAGGTGGCTAATTCTGCCTCACAAGAAACCTGCCTGATTCCCACCGAGGGGTGCCTGGCTATGGATTGCTAGCTGCAACCATCACAGTAGGGATTGGCCCTGGTTGCTCTAGTGCTGCCCAATGAAGCCTGGGCCTGGGGACCCTGCACTCCCTGCAGTTTCTCCTGTCTGCTCCCACACCACGAGATGCACCGTGCTCCACCTGCTGCTCCTGGCCCTTGCTGCTGGCTGCTGCTGCTTGCTGCCTGGCCCATGTGAGTGGGGCTGGACTGGGCTGGCTCCCATGGCCTACCAATGCTCACCCAGGGCTGCAGGTGGATGGAGCTAGGAGGGGAGGTCCCCGCAGCAGGCTGGAGGGATGAGGAGGGGGTTCCTTCCCCAGACTCACTCACTGGGGCTCCATCTGCACCACGGCATCCACCCGCCTGTCAGCATGGCACCATGGGCCCCGCAAACGTTTGGCCGGGCCTGCTCATGCTTCAGACTTTCTTCTACTTCACTTGCGGAATCCGGATCTGATTCTGGACAGCACCTCGCACAGTGGGGCATGCTCGCAGTGGGCCTCTTGCTGCAACTCTAATCCCTCTCTAATAACAACCATGTAACGCTATGGATGGTGCATGATTTTCATCACAAGCCTTTCCTCTTTAAGGATTAATAGCTCATTCCAGCTTTACTTTTCCCTCTAATTTACTGACTCATTCAGAGGGCTTTTTTTCTCTTTCAACTAGAACAATAGGAGGGTTTTGAAGCTGGGGCTGTACCAAAGGCAGAGTCTTCACTCCCTGCTATGAATCTTCATTATAAAGTTATTTCCCCACATTTTGAAATATAAATGATGCCTTTGATGTCTGTGTTTTAAAAACTGCTCTTTAAAAAAGAACAATAACATGAAAAAAAGAAAGAAGACTCTTCTCCCCTTCCCCACCCCCCTCCCCCCCCCCCCCCTTGCACAATCAAGTCAACTGTGACTTTTTGCCCTAAAGACAAGGGATGATGGGGGCAGCTGGAAAACCAGCCATTCATCAATAAATAAATGAAAGCTGCAGCACACCCCTGCCTCACTGCTGTGTCTGCCTCGGGCCTCATCAGTGAGCCCTGAGTGTGCTCTTTGATTTGGCAAAGGATGTTTACGTGAACTGGCTCTCTGCATTTGAATCTCAGAGGGAATGCAATGTGTGGGGACAGCCAGCCCTGTTGTTGGCCTCCAGATCTGCTCAACTTGTTGCTGGGAAAGTTATTTTGGCCCTTTGGCAAGACAGCACAGCAATCTCTGTCCCTTTTCTCCTTCAAGGTGCAGCGGCATTGACAGGCAGGGATGCTGGAATATGTCAGAGGGAGGAAAGTGCATGGAAGAGATAAGCCTGTGCCAATTTCACTCGCAAGACACTTAATTAAAAAAGAGAGTCTCTTGACTACAGGGTGTTGCTTGCTGCGGCTGTCACTTTTTCCCTCCCCAAATCTCCTCTGATGCTTTTCATAAGCACATCCTGAGGGCTTGTCTACCAGCGCAATCCGAGGTGTGCCTGCGACACGCATCAACACCCCAGAGCTAGCTTTGAGCTACCCAGCTCAAGTACCAATAACAGGACACCCTTCATGGCACAGGTTGTACAAGGTCCCAACCCCATGTCTGAACTCAAGTCACTAATTTGTCCTATACAGGGTCACTGCCGTTGCTACTCAAGGGACCCCGGTCCAAGCTACACCCGCTGCAGTCACACCTCTGACTGTGTTACCATCATATCCATAGAGATATGGAGTCACCTTTTGCATTGCAATGGGCTCTTCCAGCCCTGCTGCTAACACAGGGAGGCTCTGAGGCAGAAAGCCAAGGAAGCAACTGAAGACTGTAGGAATTCTGCTCCCATGATCATAGAATCCTAGGTTTGGAAGAGACCTCAGGAGTCATTGAGAGATCTCAGGAGTCATTGAGGCCCAAAGCAGGACCAACGCCAACTAAATCATCCCAGCCAGGGCTTTGTCAAGCTGGGACTTAAAAACCTCTAAGGAGGAAGATTTCACAGCCTCACTAGGGAACCCATCCCAGTGCTTCCCCACCCTCCTAGGGAAATAGTATTTTCTAATATCCAAACTTGACCTCCCCAACTGCAACTTGAGACCCTTGCTCCTCCTTCTATCACCACTGAGAACAGCCTCTTTCCATCCTCTTTGGAATCCCCCTCAAGTAGGTGAAGGCTGCTATCAAATCTCCCCTCACTGTTTTCATCTGTAGACTGACTAAGCCCAAATCCTTCAGCCTCTCCTTATAAATTCTCCAGCCCCCTAATCATTTTGGTTGCCCTCCACTGGACCCTTTCCAATGCGCCCACATCCTTTCTATAGTGCAGGGTCCAGAACTGAAGACACAGTATTCCAGAACTGGACACAATATTCCAGAACTGGACACAATATTCCAGAACTGGACACAATATTCCAGAGGTGGCCTCCCAAAGCCGAATAAAAGGGAATAATCACTTCCCTAGATCTGCTGGCAATGCTCCTACTAATGGACCCCAACATGCCATTAGCTCTCTTGGCTACAAGGGCACCTTGTTGACTCATTTCCAGCTTCTCATCCGCTGTAATCCCCAGTTCCTTTTCTGCCCGTCTGCTTCTAAGCCAGGCAGACCCCAGCCTGTAACAATGCTTGGGATTCGTCTGTCCCAAGAGCACTTGTCCTTGTTGAACCTCATTGGATTTCTTTTGGCCCAATCTGCCAGTTTGTCTAGTGATGGTGACTCAGACAAAACCAGCCACATGCCAGGAGACCCTGGAGCACAGGGCCTTAATGACTTGATCTACAATGCTGGAAATGGAAATCTCCCATTGACCTCAGTGGCCTTTGGCTCAAGTCCTAGGTGAGCAGAGAGTCTGCAGGGTAGAACGGTCCATCCAACAGCCCTCCCCTTCCTGCCCTGAAGGATGAATCATAGAATCATAGGACTGGAAGGGACCTCGAGAGGTCATCGAGTCCAGCCCCCCGCCCTCAAGGCAGGACCAAGCTCCGTCTACACCATCCCTGACAGATGAAGAAAGTGTGCGGAGAGGAGCCTCAGCTGCAATGAACCCAAAAGTGATTCTTTACCAATGCTGCTGCAAACAGACCCTGTGGTTCTCTCTAGCTGCCAGACTGACTCAGA